ACCCTTAAGTGTACAAACACTTTTGGGAGCCACGGTATGCTTGATATGAAAAAAAAAAAAAAAGTCTAATTTACACACATTATAATAAGCTTACCAAATAATTACTTTACATGAAATAAATTTATACGAACATCATTTTCAATTAAAGAACAATAGCATGCTATATAAAGGAAAATACCACAAATAAATGAAAAAAAGTTATATATTTTATTAAATTATATGCTTAATAGATTATTTCAGTGATTAATGCTTATGATAATTTTTTTTAATGTTCAGTTGACAGAGTATCTCACTTTTTAAATGTTAATAGCAAATGAAAACACTGGATTTAATAATCAAATTTAAATTTGATTTTTTCCTCGGCAGTCTTTAGCGATGCTGCTTTACCCCCAATCAGATGAAGAACAAACAAACAAGTGCCAACTAAAACGAAGGATGTATGCTAACTGAAAGTAATTAACTATATTGCGAAATTCTTTACAACATTTTTTCTCTCAATACTATTAGAAAGGTAAGTTATACGATTGTGGAATTTATAGCTGTCGTTAGTAAACATTTCGCTATCGTTCTTCAATAGACTAGTACTAAATTCAAATAAATAAGTGAACGAATGTTTATTGCATAACATTCCTTACATATGAAAACTATGATAACTAATCATACCATTTCGAAAAATATTAATAAAAACAGCAATGAGTAAGGCATATTAATTAAACAATCGGCATAACTTAAGTATTAGTTAGGCAAAATAAGAAAGGGGAAAATCCTGCCAGTTCATTAAAGATATGTTCTCATCGAAATGGTACATGTTCTCCAATTTTCTTTACTTCTGAAAGCTATATTCTATATAGTTCTTGTGAATATTGAATGAAATGATTTCCCCCCCTCTCAGCAAGACAAATTGCATTATCCTTGATATAAAGAACGTGATGTGGAACTCCTAATTAATAGGCAGCGATATAACGAGTAATTCAATAAAACATACCCCACCCTTCTCTTCTCTTATTTTTTTCTCTGTTTTCTCTCCCAATCCAGTTTACGGGGTGCCTTTCAAAAATGCAAACATAATGAACTGACGCATTTCTTAACTAAGACGGCCTCTCTTCATTTTATCCTTCCATACAACTAGGCTTAGAGAATACTCTGCTTATAATTGAATGAAACTGAGTAGGAGTGGGGGAAAAAAGAAAGAATTTCTTTTGGAAGTACAGAAAAAATTGATTCGAAAGAAATATTTTTAATGATATGAATAATGAACTGAAAGATGAATGTGTGTATATGATGAGAACGGGAATGAATTGAGCAGTCAACTGTGAAAAAAACGTGTCGAAAAAATTTTCTTTTAATTTACAATTTTCTGAAGAGAGGGGAGTGTTTGATATAATGAAAGCCTTTAGCATAAAAGAAAAATATCCTTTTTACCAGTGAGATGAAATTTTATACTCAGATAAACATTACCGAATTTATCGTTAATTTGCAACTGTAACAAAGTCAGCGTTTAGAATAATCGATTATAATATTATTATTATTGTTAACTGCACGGCATTAATGATATAGAATTGTAATTAAGTTAGCTGTATCACATCTTACAAAATAAACACAGAATCTACAGAGATGCCGTATTTTTCCTAACTTCTTTGTGTGTTGCCTCTAAAGGTTCAAGAGAACTTTTAATGCTATGTTATTGTAAAATTCCTTGGACGCAGACGGCGAATTATTACAAAGATTAGAGCAATAAAAGGCAACTGGAAATCATAATATTAGTAAGATCAAGAGCTATAATAATAGTAAAATGCGAAGTTCTGGAAAATATACTATTATACATTCAATGAATGAATACAATGAGTCAGATCAAATAACAGTGGATGATGAGTCAGATAAACATAAAATAGGATGATGAGTCAGACTAATTAAAACTTGATGATGAGTCAGATGAAATAAAACTGGATGACGAATCAGATAAAATAAAATTCTATGATGCGTCAAATAAAATAAAACTGGATGATGAGTCAGATTAAATTAAAATTGGATGATGAGTCAGATAAAATAAAACCGGATGATGAATCAGATGAAACAACATTGGATGATGAGTTAGATAAAATAAAACTGGATGATGAAGTTAGATTTAAAGTTCCAAGTAGTAATTATAATTGTCTGCTTAAGTTTTAAACGCATCATGTTGCAACAATTTAGCAACGATAATTGCTAACAGTGTCAGTTATTGTATTTAAAAATACGAACTGCTCTGAACTTTTGTGGAAACTGCTATAGGTCTGGGATAACCAACTACCCATAACTCAAACGAATTTTCACTTAATCTGCTCACAAGGAATCGATTTTCATGGCGTATGAAGATGAAAAATAAATATTATACTAGTGATTCTTGCTATATTTTATGACATATTTTCTCTTTGATTTAGTTATTTTATTCAATATAAATTCCATCTTACATTCTTGCGTTCATTTGGCAAAAAGTGAGAAAATAATAGATGGCCCATATGAAATTGCTGGACTCTTCGGAAACATGTACTTACACTGCTTGTTATATCATTTTCATTTTATTCTTTACAGTTTTCCAACTTGTAAAACATTCCTCTTTCCATTATTAAACTAAAGATTGTAGAGACATTAGAATTTTTTTGGAAGCAAGAGGGATTGAAAAATACTCAACGCCTTCGCCGGGAATCGAACCGCGGACCTCCGGAATACGCGCCCAGTGTGCAGACTACCACACCACGAAAGGATCCGAAGAAGGCGGGAGAAATGCCTTATAAGATGACTGGCAAGTTTTAACAGTACCTCTCTTTCTCTTTTCCGAGGTATTAGACGAGACAATTCTGCAGTGAATTTTGTGAAAGTGTCGTGCATCGACGCGTCTCGAGTGTTGGGTAGGAGAGCTGTGCCTTAAGTATTTGGTCACAGCGAACGGAAGTATTTAATACGTTTTGTCGGGATGGTCAAGAAAGACAATACAACAGATAGTTGACCAAACTTCGCATTAAATTTCGGAACAAAAATATTGAAATATCTGAAATATTACGACATGCATATGGTTGTGAAGCATTTGGCCGTGCTTGAGTACTTTCATGGTAAAAGCATTTCTAAGATGATAACAAGCAAAGCGATCAACAAAGCATGTTCTGGCTGGCAATCCACCACGGTTACGGATGCCATTCCATCTAAAGGCAGAAAATAAACGATTACTATAATGCAAACATCCCGAAAACTTATTTGTATATAACTATGAGGAAGGAAATATTTTTAACTCCAGATCCAGAACGAAGGACGGCAGTATGTTGCTACTGTGATATTGACAACATTGTCTGAAATCAATGGAACGGCACCAGAACACCCTCCATACAGCAGACAGCAGGTTTGTAGCGCCAAGTGACTTCTGGACATTCCATTGCTGCAAAGGCAATGCACGGGAAAAGATTACCTTCATATACAAAAGTCAAAAACGAAGCCATCTCAGTGTTAAAATGAATATAAAAAACCAATCTATTTCATGACCTTGAATAGTTCATAAAAAATTGTAAAAATGGAGTTTAATGCGAAAAATGCATACAGGGAGGAAAAAACAAAAAAGTCCACAGTTTTCAGTTTTCTAATAAAATAATCAACCTACGTGCACGCATTTAAGTTTTGTTTTAAATTAACATAAATGACACATATAAAAATTTACAATGAAAACAGGAGGGATAATTTATATAGTATATAAAGAAGAAAGTCTGTGTGTTTGTTCGCTAATAACTCAGTCACTACTACAGCTATCGTCACGAAACTTTTTACAATTCTTTTCTGGATCTTGCGAGGACAACGTCCACTTAAAAAAAAAAAAAAAAAAAAAAAAAAAACCCGCTAAAATCAGAGATATTAATTAAAAACTAATAAAACGCTAATTTTCGCCTCATTTTTCCGATAGGCAACTGTGCTGATATAATGAGAGAGGATTATGATGATTTTTCTATTGAAATTTTTATGTAGGTTCCATATCGTTCAAAATAATAATGCATTTGTTTTTATTTATGCTGACCCAAATGGCAATTCCGTATGTCATATGGGTATATATTCCATATGATTCTATGATTACGTAGTCAGTTGTAGTACATGTATTGAATATTACTTTGTTTCTTTGGCATTTTTTATGCATTATAATGACGCATCATATATTCCTTATGACGTGTAATATGCTATTATAGGAACTTTCAAACGATGTCATGAGTAAACTAACACATTACTCTCAATCTAACTTAACTGGAGGCCCGCCAGCGGCCGAGCGGTAAAGTCGCTGAACACTGGTAGTTCGGTCCGAGGTTCGAATCCCGTGAACGGGCTGGCTGCATGGGCGTTTTCGTGGTTTTCCCCATGTGTAACGTGTATACGAGCCAGTTTCCCTTAGAAAGTCCTCACGAAGGCATCCCTCCCCTTAGACAGATAGCCCTCGTGTGCTTTGCCATAATTAAATACACACACTAACTGAACTGGCATCGGGTACTTCCGCTAGTATATAATAAAACAACACACGTCACTTTTCATTTCCTTCACTATTAATAAAGGTATAGGAAATAGTACAATACGTAGGTATTCAACACATGAGAAAACTAATCACTATGAAAACTAATACTGCGAGAGCTGAAATGAATTTTATATTTTAATAATCGCAAGAAAGGTAAAAGAGACGAACTTGGTAAATGAAAAAAGTTATGAAGATAATTTTTTCCTCTCGTCATAGAACGTGTCGCTTTGGAATGACGACACAGAACTTCGTCACGTAATTTTTCATCTCCTTTAATCACGTAAAAATGAAATTTTCTTTCGTCGAATGGCTAGCCGTTCCTGCTTAATTAAAGATGAAGTTACCATTAATTATGTGACTTCGTATTGCTCGTCGTTCGTAAAAAAAATTGGTTAAAAAAGTAGAAGTGAATTCGTATAGGAAGAGAAGAAGCAGTTGGGGAAAAAAAAAGAAAAGTATTAATATTCATGAAAATACTCACGAATTTCGTTGAAGTAGAACGGGAACTCTCCCGGTATCGAACAGTTTAGTCTGGCTTTAAGGAAAGATGCCCAGTTTTTACTTAAGATGTTTTTTCCACCAGTGTCTTTCTGAAATGATAAAAAAAATTCATATGCAAATATTAGAATAAGCACTTTTTAAGGTAGATTCTTTCAGGACATAAAACTCTTTTTACGACTTTAAGAATATCTGTAAGATAATTAACAAAATAAAAGGGAAAAAAACCATGAAAATGGTGCAAAAATTTGTTCAATACTTCAGAAGAAGTGAGAAGTTTTGCGACCATGGCTAACGGGTAAAAAGATCCTGTAGGCTCACTGACTTTACTACATTTCTGTGTTAAATAATATATTTTTTCCTTAATTACAATCACCAGTAACTTTTTTTAACGTTAGCCATTTCGAAAAGTTTTCAAGAAACCGAGTTTGAATATCACCGGTTTTTAGCAAATTCATTTACGAGAAACAGATTCTGGCAGCGAAAATCTAAGAAATAATTATATTATTTTATCATCCATGAACTACATGATTTTCCTACTAGTTTAAGGTTTATTTAGTTAACACGTTATTTTTATGTTAATTCTTTTCTGTACTTTCTATTTCTACGGTCAGCCTCCACCAGATTACAAATTAGATGTAAATAGATATAAAATTTGCAGATGAAGGGCAGTGCTGTAACAAAACCCCAGAAAGCTGTTTATATTTTAGACTTGTGTATCGATCTACGTTTGTTATGATCTTCCTGTGCGCCTGTCAACGTTTTGATGAGTGATTTTATATTTACTAGTACGCAGACCTAGCGAACTAGTACCTAACTAGTAAGCCCCCGATTCTCTAAAACGAATCGAATAAGCATGTGAACATGTGAAATTCGCGACGGTATAAATTGCATGGGAACGACAATGCAGAATTGAAAAGCACAGAAAATATAAATTGATTCTTGTATATATATTTTGGGACTTGGCGATAAGATTCAACGAAATTAAATAATAAATAAATAATATTAAATAAAGATTAAACAGAGGTGGATCAACTACTTTAGTCTTTTATTTTACAACATAAATAATACTTTGCGCAACAGTAAGCAGCAAAGTTAACAAACTACATGAAATAATAAAAAAATTCACTGAACACAGTGTTTTGGATAAAAACATTGTTAAACATCGTTAGACATGGGAAAAAAAATTGAACAGCTGAGTGCGTCTACGTCATACATTGTTTCCCCCTCTTTGTTTTTTCTAATATTAAGATGTAGTTGCAGCCAGATTGCCAAGGCACTGAAGGTTAACTTATATACTGTACGTATTTAAATACTTGAATTTCTGACACCCAATAAGTTAGTGACTAGCTTGAGTTAAATTTTGGTTGTCCTGCAAGATAATTTCAAGAACTTCAATTTAACAGATTATATGGTTATTATTTTTATGCACTGACCAGTTATTTATAATTTCAGCCTTTACTATCACCTCTCCTTTCTACTTCCTCACCAGAATACAAATCAGTTAAAGACTATTTAAGCTGAGTTTTTTCGATTGTAAGACAGAGCGTGTTTCTGCGTCTCGAGACCACGTTAAAAGGTTACACCAACTCTGGTAAAATTGAAATTATTCGGTTTTCCGTTACAGCTGACGTAATTTAAACTGTACGTCGGTGAGAAGTTCTGAGGCAACTTAGAATTAAAATTAACTTCGCAGTCTTCGAACACTAAGTTTAAATTTACTGTTATTTTTAAGGTGTATCGCCACAAGTAGTGAATCAAGCACGAGAAATGTATTTTTGTTCAAGTTATGATTTCAATAAAAGGTTATTTTAACTTTTCCAAGACTCTGTTGTACATTTCAGACCCAACGATAATTTCCTTAACGACTGTTAGGATTTTGATACTAATTTATGCTATCGAAGAAAGTCAAATATTACAAGACAATTTAATAAATTTTACTTAATAAAATTTTAAGAATCCTACGTTTTATTGTTTTCTGTTCCAATAAGTGCGATGACAGGAATTAACGTAAGCATAAGAAGTTTAATCAAGTATAATTTAATAGTACACCTTGCGCAAAAAAGGCACAGTTCTATTATCTCCCGTTTTACTGCGCAGATTGACTTAATTTATCTTGCGATTTTCATGTCTCAAAAGCGCGACTTCTATCTATATTCGATTTACATGTAGCATTGTTCTAACATAAATATTCTGACATCAAAACTGGACCTTTTTGAAATGAAATACCTAAATTGTTTTCATATTTCGATTCTACGACACAAATTATGCCAAGTTTTGTGAAAATCGCACGAGTAGTTTTTAAAAAATTAGCTCTCTTAAATTTTAGCTCCTCAATGTCGGTTGAATTTGGTATGTATTTATTAATATCTCTTTTTTTATTTAACTTATTCGGTTCCTTCTTTCACAGTTCGAAATTTACGTTCAATAAAAATAAAATTCGCAGATGTTTTCTTATTTATTTTTTAAATTTGTATTTTTTAGTAATTTTTATAAATATTTCCAAAAAACTTCTAAATTATAAACTACAATATTTTTACCATTACTTTAAAGAAGATGTATTTCTAGGCATACCTGCAAAAAATTAACAGTTATTCTATTCAAAATTTCGAAATATATACGTGAATATACGTATTGGCGCATTTTGAAATTTAGCATATTTGTTATAAGCTATAACAACGCCAAATCTCCTTTACGCACTTTATTAAAATAATTTGAAAGAATGAACAACGCAGCTTTTTTCCGCGCGTGCAGAGTGAAAAAAAGAGAAATGAAAACAGAGTACTATAAATTCGCTAGTGAGTTATTCTCGGCGCAAACTGAAAAAGTGCGCCAAGATAAATTTTTTAATTTCTTGGTAAATTTCTCACTAAATTTTTAAATATTAAATATTTGGGAATAATGAATCATAGAATCGAAATATGGGAAAAATCGGTATGTCATTTCAGAAGAAGTTCGATTTTGTGCCAAAATGCCTATGTTAAAACAAAGCTAAATATAAATCTAATATATATCCTAAGTCGCACTTTCGAGACATAAGAAACGGAAGTTAAATTTCATCAATCCGCCCAACAGAGTGGAAGTTATAGATTTGTGCCCCTACTTTTTTTTTTTTTTTTTCCAAAGTGTACATGCAGTTTAATCTTACGAAGTTAACTACAGGACGGCAACAATTATTCATTATTTCCTTTAAAGAAAAAAAAATGAGTGAAAAAAAATTCTGCTTCGGAAACACACAAATGCAATTTCTTTAGTATTTATTATCACTTTATGAAATTTTGCTAATGATGGTGTTGGATGTATATTTAATATTTGCATTCCTTTTTTTCTTTGCCTTATTTATTTTCTCACTGTTTAATTTGTGATTTTTACAACAATCTTGTTACTGGCAACATGCTTTATTTTACTACTGAGTTTGTGTGAATGGCAACAGTTGTTCATGTTTATATTTCAGTAGAATAGCGTTCTTAGCCTCACTGCGCTGCAGGCAATTTTTCTCTTAAATATTTCATGTTTTATAATATCAAAAAAGTTTTTATACAAAGCTGATGCTTTTTAGTTCAAGGCAACTAGATGGTGTGGTGGAAATTTGAATCTTCTTCCATGTCTGTTATTTCAGATGGAAGAGTTCACAGTTTTCAAAAAGTAGCTTTAATTTTATTTAAAAAGTAGCTTTAATTTAATTATTAATATCTTAGAATTAAAAAACATGATTTAACTGAAAAAAATTAATGAAATATTTTGAATACATATATGTGCATACACCAAAAGGATAGAGAGATATATAAATAGCCGACGTATTAAATAACTTATGAAAGCATTATTTCTAAAAAAAAGCAAAAATTAAATTATAAGCGCATTAAAGAAAAAGCATTATCGAGAAAAGTGCACCACATTTTTTTTCCCTACTTTCCCGACTATTTAGAATCTCAAATGTACGCTAATGTATCTGCTTTCATTAATAAAAAGCAGCCAATTTTATTAATGTGCACATAGGTAAAAATAACAGCACGGTTAAAAATATTTAAAAGAGCCTTTTTTTTTATGTACACTTCTTTTATAAAAGAAAGCACTTCTTAGGTGAAAGTGTAACAGGAAGCAAAAAGGTCTTTAACGATTTTTCCTTCCTCAAAACACATCTTTTATAAGTTTTAACTGTTTTTAACTCCATATTTCAGGCTTAAAGCTGAAAGCTTATTATTTTTTAAGGATTTTTTTTAACGAATACTCTTTCGAAGATAATGGCTGTTTTAATTTATAACCTTCGGCGCTTGTTAAGGAATAATAAGAAGACTCTTTTATGTAAAAATATGCAACGTTAAAGAGTAATGCAAGGTTATGAGGTAATACCGAGTGCTATCTGTAAAATTCAGGTGGCGGGGGCTTTATAATTTTACTGAATAAACTTTATTTCCTCCCAAATATCTCGGTTTAAGGATCGATATTTTAAGGGCGTATAGATACATTGATAATAAGAACAGATCGCTATTTTTCTGATGTCTATACTTATAAACATGGCATCAAAAAGCATTTCGCAGTAACTTCTATAAACTTGAATTCTGATGAAGATATATTTGATAAGATAAATCGAACTTACCAAACAGAAATTTGAGATACTTTTAAAACATTAGTTTAAAGATGAGCTAATGTGCCTAATTTTCAATATAGATGGGAAATCATTGATAAATATGAATCGGATATTACAGAAGAATATTTTTAAATATGCATTTTATGTCTCAATTAAAAAAATTAAACCGGAGATAAGATACTTGTATTTTTGAACAAAGAAAAAATACATGTCGTGGTGAAGCCACGAAATGGTCAGTTTTGGTCATGAAATTACCGATTTAAGAAAGAGTCTTAGATCAGAAAGGTACATACGTAAACTGCCTACTAGTTTAAGGTAACTACAGCTAATTAAGACACAATAACACGCCGAAAAAATACTAATTCAGAAGTCAAACAACAAAAATCAGCGTTATATTTACAAAATTTTCGCAGTTTGTTTTGTAAATATAACGCTGATTTTTGTTGTTTGACTTCTGAATTAGTAACTACTGCTAGTTTCATAGCCTTATTTTGCTATGTAGAG